TTATTCCTGATGACTTTGATAAACAATGTATATATTTGATCTTTCACATAAATACCACAGCGAGAATTACATTTGCTCAACAGTGGAGGAATGAAGAGTCATCTATTGAAGAGGTGATTTTAAAAGATATTTTGGATTTGGCTGAAATGGACAGATTGACTTTGAAGGAGAAGTAAGGTACATACTCATATCAAAATTGGAACTCTTTTTATTATTGGTTAGGGAAGCGGGACTATATGTAAAATTGAATATGGTTATTGATTGTAAAAAGGAGTAAGATGTGACTGCACCAGGAGGGGGCTGCAAGCCAAAGACCCCCTCGTGGCTTCTCCATGAAGAGCAACACAAGAAAGGTGGGGCACTCACCCAGCCTTTATTCTTCCGTTACACTTCCACCACTCACTTCCCACAGTGCCTTGGCCCTTGCCTGCTCCAGCTCCCTTCCCTCCTGTCGCTATGGCAATGAACTGCACCATCCTGGCAGTAGTGCTCCCCAGTCTCTGCCAACAGTTTGCCCTGGCCTGCCTGCCAGTGGCAGCCACACCAGCTGTTCCTCAAACACATGTGTGTTTCCACGTTCTCTGCACTCTCGCCATCTCTCTCTCCTCTCCCCCCTCCTTCCTCTTCCTCCTCTTTATCTTCCTTCCTCATGCATGACTCCATCCACCCCAGCTGTTAAAGCCTTGGTCTGCAGTCCCGTACAACTGCATGCTCGCTCATATCCCCTGGCCCCTGCCTTCTTGTGAGTTGTTCTCCCTATATGGATACCCAAGCCTTGCCCTGTTGTCTCCAGCCCTGCACTATGGAAGGCCCCAGGAAAAGGGATGAGCCCCTCTGCCTCCTCACAGATGTCAATCTAGTATGTCCGATATCTCTGGAATAATTGTTACTTTAGTTTTAGATTTGAAGAGAAAATAATAAAACTTGGGGGAGGGGGGAGAACATATTTCAGAAAAAAATGGTCAAACCATTCTGAATATATTAAATCTTGTGCAAGCATACATATATGTTAATTAACAAGATGGTACACATTGCCACAGCTTCTTTTACTTCTGCTTCTGCTTCTGTTTCTGCTTCTCATTGGTATGGATACGCAATATGCAATGCCTTCCAAGATGAGATTTTGTTTATTTGTTCCACTTTATTAGATGCTTCTTTTTGTTCAGATCTGGTCTCAAGATGATGAGGTAGCATTTGGGGAAAAAGACGCACCCCAGGAGGCCAGCACTGGAAGCCAGGATGGAGAAGACTTCCACTGCCACCATGTACTTCCCCTTGGTGCTGAGGTAGGTGAGAACAAAGGACACCCACACGCTGCAGAACGGCAACATGCTGAAGGTGATGGACTTGGTCTCCTGGAAACTGTCCGGAAGCTTCCTGGATAGGAAAGGCACAGTGAAACTCATAACGGCAAGGAAACCCATAAAACCAAGGACGCAATAAAACATAGTGTCTGACCCTTCGTTGCACTGGATTACAATCTGGTCACTTATGGAGTGCATGTCCATACCTGGGAATGGGGGAGATATTGACAGCCAAAGTGTACAAATGGCAGCTTGAATAAGGGAGCAGGAGAGAACAATGGAGGTGGCAAGCCTTTCTCCCATCCATTTCCTCATCTTAGATCCTGGCTTGGTGGCCATGAAGGCCAACACCACAGTGATGGTTTTGGCCAGCATGCAGGAAACAGCCACCGAGAAGATGAGCCCAAAAGCAGTTTGTCGAAGGAGACAGGTTACCTTCCCAGGTTGGCCAATGAGAAAAGCACAAAGGAAGGAGAGCAGGAGGGAGATGAGAAGGATGTAGGAGACATTTCGGTTGTTGGCTTTAACGATGGGTGTGTCATGGAACTTCATAAAGATGTGCAAGACCAAAATTGTGGTGACAGAAAGCAAAAGAGCCAGTGTGGCCAAGGAGGTCCCCAAGGGTTCCTCAAACGATAGGAAAGTGATAAACTTAGGAAAACATTTGTCCTGGTTTTGGTTTGAATAATAACTGTCGGGACATTCAAAGCAAGTATCCATATCTGGAAAAGCAAATGTATGTATCAGCAAGAGTTATATATGGAAGTCATCGATCTGATCAAGTTTCAGTACTATACAGAAGTGCTGGAGAGGTGCTGGCTTTAATCTTTTCCTCTATAAGTTGCAATAGTAGGATCTACATCCATTCCTCTCTCAGGAAAAAGACAATCAAGAATGCCTAACCCATTACTGAAAGCTCCCTGTGTTCTGTGCTCAAACCTTTTTCCACACACCTATCCCCATCTCAGAAGAAAGAGTGTTTTGGTTTCAATGTAACATCATAGTGCCATGCTATCACAATTGCTCAGTGGGACTCTTCTTCCAACACAAATGTCTTCACCTGAAGACCTTTTCAAACGAGGGTAATTTAAGTCCAGTTAATGAAATATACCAAGACAGCTTTCTGAGAGACTTTGTAAAAGGGCTCTCACCTGTCTGATTTGAAATCTCCCCTTCAGGACGTGGCCTGCAATCATAGCAACAAAAAGGCTTCCCTTCCTTCTTTGATTTTCTAGAACCCGTGTGACATTTATCATTGCAGACAGAAGAAGGTTGTGTCTGTACAAACAGTGGAGGGAATAATCTTTTACCATTCAAAATCTCTTCTGAAAAAGAACACAAAATATTTTCAGGGATGCATCCCTTTTCTTTTGCTGTTATCACTATTTAAATAAAGCCATTGAGAAATATGAATGAGAAGGAAATACTTGCTTGAACAATCCTCAACCAAGCTCTGGCTGGCTCTGAAGTGGGGCAGAAAAGTTACTTGGAACATATTTCCCTCAGATTCCTAACTTTTCTTCCTGCAGATGTTGCTGCCTACCAGGTAGAATTATGCTTCACTCACAATGTCCCACATCTACTACATTCTCAGGATATTGTTGGGTTACAGATGGTGGCTTCCCCAACCAAAAGAGCCAAAATGTAGTGATATTCTGGGAAGCAAACAAAGGAAAGACTCAAAACATTGGTGTGCGGGGCACTGAGAAATGTTGCTTACTCAAGATTTGAAAAAATGTCAGAAGAGCATTTTGGAAAAGAAAGCAAGTGCTATTTCACTATCAGAACACAGGGAAGAGTGTGACCATTGCTGAAATATGGAAGTACTCCTTAAAATTACCTTTAGCCTACCTGATTAAATTTGATGGGCCATGTGATGATATCAGAAGAAACCCTGAAGTGTTTGTCTGGGTCCAGATGTCCAATTTTGGCTCTAAGGAAGGTCTGGTTAGGGAATGTCACCCAGTTGATAATATCAAATCCAGTGACCAATTCCCCATTTTTGTCAAAGGAAACCTTTTCTCCAGCACTGTTGTTAAAGATGACTGTTCTCAGAAAGCTTTGGAGCTAAATAGGAGAGGAAAGGGAAGTCAGAAAAGAGGTGGAAAAGCATTCCTTGATGGAATCTGCTGTCCTATGTTGTTTGAATTTGATAGTCATTCCAAAAGTTTTATTTGAACTAATAATATATGTGTATAATTTAGGAATTACAAAAAGCTAGATAACTTTAGAACAACCTGTTACTGTTATTATGCTGGTAGTGCCAATAGGAGAATAATAATATTTTGCACAGTCTACATTGTAATATACAGACCAACAAAGGAAGATAAAGCGTAAGATGCATGACTGAAGGAATGCACACTCTTCTACAGACACATCATGCTTGGTTCGTGTTGAAGATAGGATTCCTGGTCTCAAATCAAATCAATGTCGACTTTTCTTTGTACACAATTCAATTACCTTCCACAAGTGTCTTTGGAAAAGTTTTTGCCCCCCACCATTCACTGTTGCTCGATGCTCCTGCAGTGATGAATGCATGGCATGCAGCGCATGTGCAACTACATAGACTGCATTGTACACACTGTAGCTGTGGGCAGTCATGCTTGTTTCAAACACCGATGCAGGAAGACTCTCCAGCTTCTCCTCCCCAGTGCAGATGTCCCCAGCAGTCATCTCTGTGTTGTGACTGGGGAACATGCAGTTAAATGTCTGTTGCCAGAAGTCCACCAGAAACCCATCATTCTTTTCCCAAGTAGGGTTCCTCTTCTCAAGAAATTGCTGGAATTCCAACATCTGCTCAGAATGAATGGTGAGGGATATTGAATCATGGATAAAATGCATATCCCAAATTCTTTGAAAAGGGAGGAGTGTGAAATCCACATCTGCTGTCATAATCCAGATTTTGGCCTTCCCTGGTATATTTTCAAACTGTGCAACACTAAGCAAAAGTATTAGATTTATCATACTGTGAAATTCCCCATGAAAGATCACTGCACTGGCATTGCTTTCCATAGCTGTGCTGATGGTTCTGTGTCCTCCCGACACAAGTTCACTCGTATCACTAGAATGAACAGTAACTTTTTTCACGAAGTCAAAACAGATACCACTCATGGAAAACATCGGAATCACATTCCGCATCAATGCCTCAGTTACACTTCCAGTATTCAGGTAAATCAGCCCAATCCATGTCCACATGAAATGCAGCAGAAGCTGGATAATACCTCTATATTGGTAGTCACCATTGGGGAACATCCAATGGAGGAAGACAGCTTGGGATTTGGCATCCATCCCCACGGCAGAGCTATATGCGAGCTACGGGAAAGGAAGTAAAACAGGAAATCATGAGGAACATTTAATCTGAGGTTGAGTGGGGTGGGTGTTGTATCTCATGGGTGATACATTGCCCCAGGTTGCACAGAAGATGCTACCATGGCTTAATTTTCCTGTTGGTTCTCCTGTTGCAGCAGTGACAACCATTTTTATTTTCAGGTCATGGTGGAAGCGTGCCATAGCTTCTCAGTATGGGTGATCATAGCATTTTGCTGAATAATACTTAAGAATGTCTGTGGAGAAGCAGAATGGTTTCCTTTAGGGCAAGAATTCAAACAAGGATAATTTTTTTCTCCCTTTCAGTTCAATTGGTAAAACCATCCATGAATTAAAAATGGATAAGGTGACACATCTGGCCTGCATAACTGAACCCTGGATGGTGTGCCCTGGTGTGAAACATTAGGCATGAAACAAATTGACGAGGACTTGCAGAAAAGGGGGAGGGTGTGGATTCTAGAGGATGCACTAAAACACTGCTGTATTTCTACTATTATGTTCATACATATTCAGAAGCTACAAGGGAAACCTAGGAGCAACATACATATTAGGAACATTTTACTGATTAGCCAGTTTTTCCACACTGCTGTGTGATATACAAGGCAAAAAAACAAAAAACGAGAACCAACTCAATCCAACTTTAAATCTAAGGAGAGAGAAGAAAGACTAACATGGAAAAGCATGCCACACACATGACCAAGGAATCTCCATCCTACAGATGCAACGTGAAGTACTCTGTCATTAATCTTCATAGATTCCAGTTAATCCAGATTTAGTCATTGTTTTTTTTTTCCCATAGGATTGCATAAAAGTATTCACGTTTATTTCTAGGGACACCAGATCTACCCTAAGTATAACTATGCTTGGGTTTAACCCATCTGCTTCTTCATTCTGCTCATTTTATTTTTATCATCGTGTTCTTTGTAATTACCCACATGAACTGAAGAGGGAATACAGTCGTATGAAGAAAGAAATATGATACCTAGAAGGATATATAGACTTTCATTAACAATAGCAATCTGGTTTATCCACCGAGAAACTAAGCATGTTCGTCAGCCACCACATCTGCTCCATCCTTTTTGCTTTCCCTTGGCTCTATTACCATCCATATCAGTGGTTTGCTTTCATGCTTTTGCTATGACTTGGTTTTTCTCCACTGGGCACTGCCAGCACTTCCAGCACTTGCCTAAAGGCTTCAGCATTGATCTGCAATCCAGTATTGGTTGTCAGGTGTAGTGGGTGGAAAATTGAGACCCCTAGATTTCAGCTTTGACAGGTTCTCCAAATTCCATCTGAAGCTCAGTTCAGCTCATTTCCATACCAGAGTTTGTGCTCTTCCTTCTGCTCATATGAAAATGAACCCCCAATGCTTGCATTTTTCACAAATTCTATGCTTTATTGAAATACTGCATTTTATCCCAGTAACTACAGGGCTTTTTATCTGCATATTTCAGAAAGCTGGATTCTTGCGTGCCGTTTTGAAATGAGAATCATGCTGCCAACTTGTAAATTCAAAAAGTTCAACTGCAGATTACATCTAGGTCTTTCTACCAGCATGTAAATGAATCACATACTGGAAGAAAATGGACTAAAACCAGGTTTTCATACATTGCTGTTGGATGCATCAGGAGTCAGAAGGGGTATATGCAGCCTTGCTTTGCTCTGCTCTGCTCTCTTTTGTTTTCCAATGATCTACATTGCTGGTATAGTGAGTTGCATCCCTGCTGTGCCATCAATTCTGTATTTAAAAAATCTTTTGGAAACACACCTTCTTAA